AAGGGAGCTGATGGTGTAAAGATGCAATGGCCTTGCATCAAACAGAAGACAGAGTTGTGAGGGAGCAGAAAAAATTAGAATGGAGAAGTGGAGGATTGTCAAAGAGAGGAGGGTATAGCAGACCTGTGGAGGAGCAGAGATGCCTGGAGGGACAGAGTCATGCCTTCAAGCTTCTGTTAGTCCTTTTTTTTCTTGCTCCAGTTCCAATCCATATATATCTTTATTGTAAGTGCCTTCCTTCCAGTCTTTTTTCCTCTAGGGGGAAAAAAAGTGGGTCTCAATTCCTTGTAGCCAGTCAAGCCTGACCAGAACCACAAATCATCACTGTTATGGCTGTATAGCATTCCATTATGTGGTGGTGCCATCACCTATTAAAATAACGACAACAACAATAACAACAAAAAACAAAACAAAAACCCCAAATGACGAGCATTTAAGACACTTCCAATGAGCATCTTTATCACTAATTTCTGCACATTAAAAAAAACTTTGTTATGATATATTACAAGAAGTGAAATTTCTTGCTTGAAGGATAGCTGCATGATGGAAAATTGGACTTCAGAAAGATTGTATCAATTTACAACCCAACCAGTCATGGGAATGGTTGCTTTTCCACCCTTCTGCCAATAGTATCAATTAGAAAACAAATCAAAATAAAACAAAACAAAACAAAACATTGCTACTCTGATGCCAGTTATGATCTTAATGTGCATTTCTCTAAATCTTGTGTTGAATGACCAGGCATGTGGGTAATGTCATTAGATGGACCTACGTTTGAGTTCCAGCTCTGCCTCTTGCTCTGTGGCTTCAGGTGAATTACTTAGTTCTCCATTCTTTCATCTGTAAATTGGAGATAATAATAGTTCTTTGTAGGATTATCATAAGACTCAGATGATAAAATACATACAAAATACTGAGTCCAGTAAAGCCTCAGTACATTTCAGTTATTATAGTTATGAAGAATGACTTAATTTGTGACCACCAGATAAAGCTATGTGAGATATCTGAAACTCAATGGGATATTAACTTAAATACTTGTTAGAATTGTATGGTCCTAGGAATAAGACAGAATGCAAGAGCCCATTAGGTTCATAACCTTTATGATTAGAGAGAAAATACATTTATATATGTGAACTTCATCCAGTACAATTTATTTTAGGATTAAAATAAAAACATATATACATATCTTAAAAGCCAAGAAATATAAAATAAAACCAAAAGATACACTGAGTAGGACTTGCAGATTTCTAAGAGTAGTCAGGGGATGAGTTAATGAGGTAATTAATATATGACATAATTTAAAAAGGAACCCCTAATGACAGTTGGCACAGTGAGGAGAATGGCTCTGAAAGTCTGCAGCTCCAGGACTTATGTTTGGTAGAAACCTCTGATCAAAAGTAATCTTAATTAACTAGGTTGGAAACTGTCTTTCTTAGCAGCTCTATGTCTTTCAACTCAGAGAAGCTTCAGAATTAAGCACAGAAAGGCTTAACAGGGTAAACACTATGGGATTAATATGTTGAGGTTTACAAGAAATATGTGCATATTTTACATTTTATACACTTGCAATGTTTAAGAGAATTTTTAAATGGGAGTGGTTTTTTTTTTAAAAAATAGATTTTCAAATATCTCACTTTAATATTTTGAAGGAGGAGTGGATAAGCTGAAAATTGCTAGAGCAAAAAGCCTAGAGTCAGGTTGTGAAGGGGCTTATTTGGCATGCTAAGGAAATTGGGCCACATCCTGAAGGGAGTATTAGGAAAAAATTATAAAAGGGAGAAACACAACCGCACTTGCATTTCAGAAAAAATATGCAGGTGACTGTAGGGAGTTAGTTAACAGAAGGGAGAATAGAGATGATGGCAATCCAAACAGTGTAATCACAGTGGAGATAGGGACTAAAGCAAGAAACCATAAATGATACCGATTGCATGTAGGGCATGAGGCAAGGAATGTGGTGTGTCCCGCCTGTGAACTGAGCACTTCCATTAATAGAAAATATAATAGGATTAGGGTCATTGTTGGACACGTTAAGTTTAAAGTATCTGTGGAATTCATAGGTTAAACTGTCCATTACATAGCTGAAAATAATGAGCTGGGGCTTCTAGAAAGTCTGTTCTGGGATATATATTTAGGGCTGTTCAGTAGTATAAGGTGAACGTTGAGAAATTTATTCAGAAAAAGTGAGCAAAGAAAAAATGAAAGAGGACTGGGAACAGAATTTCGTTGAATACCAATGTTTTAAGGGTAGGCCACAGGCTGCAGGAGGAAGAGGCATCCCTAAAAGGGGTAGAGTCCCCTAAAGAAGAACTTGCAAAGAGTACTGGCAGGGAGTCTAAGGGAAGGAAGTTTGGACAAACACAATTCTCCTGCTTTAGCATCCACTTCTCAAATACTAGAGTGTGGGGTGCGGTTAAGCAGTTCAAATCTGGCGACTTCTGGCGAATCTGGGAGAGGACTGAGGCCAGAACGCCAGACAGCCAGACTGCCAGACTGTGCGGTCCCTTTCGGCAATTTGGTTCCCGCTTGTGTCCACAAGATCAACTGGGCCACTTCAAAGGAGGCCTTTCTCGAGTCCTTTGGTGCAGAAGAGTTTAGCTAGGCAGCCAGGGGAAGGAAAGGTGCCCACGTTTTTTATTTCAAGCTATCGACACTGTCGGCCTTTTTGTCCGACATGTAGATAGGGCGGCGGCCGGGAAGGGCGAGGCTCCAGAGCAGGGGAGGGCCTTTTCCGTCGAGCCGCGGTGACAGCGAGTACGGCTGGCGGGCAGGCTCCGCCTTCTTCCTTCCGCCTCCAGAGGGCGTTGCGGGCACAGGGCGGGGCCAGGGCGTGGTCGGGAGGCTCAGGC